CTCTAGTCTTTCACTGCTAAATTAGGGACGGCTAGCGAGATAGTCCTCGTGTAGCTTTGCGCGAAATTCAAAACAAACCTATATTCATTAGCAATATTCCTTTAAATGTAATGGTTTTCAATGTCATGAATTATTCATTTAAAGTTGCAGAATCATCCTCATAAAATGTGTGGGATTTTTATCTTATATTTTGAAATTAAATAGTTGTCATTTCTATAATTTTATTGCAAAAGTAGCTATTTACGCAGATTTCAAAACAATACAATTTAGTTTTAAAACCCGTTACTTTGATTTATTTCAGTCGATATCGTTATTTCATTTATATAATATCCATTTTGAATTTATACCTATCTCTATACAGATATCCAAACCAATTTCCATTTGTATTGTTCAGGTCTTCTTACCGGGGTTCTAGTAATAGGGCCGAAAGCTCGCAAATAAGAGTATTTTTAATGTAGATAAAAGTCTTTGTATATTCTACATATGTCCATCGGAATGCTAACTTCAGAGGGCGGATTTTACATATCATTATTGTGTGGTCTGCTGAATACCTATTATGTTGTGCCATTAAAATCAACTACCTGGACGTTCGAGCGTGGCCCAGTGGTTAGCATGCCGGACTATGGATCTGCAGGTCCGATTTTCGCGTCTCGTGATCGACAAAAATTAAATCGCGCTCTGCACTTTGGAATCGTGGTTGTTCTATAAGCGTGACTGTCAGAAATTCCACTGTTCGGTCAAACAAGAGTAGACCAATGCTTGGCGGTGTGTGCTTTCGACTAACCACCCTTCTCCCTAGAGTAGTCTAAGAGTTGACGATGTTGTTGTTAACTTACAACTTTCTCTCTAGTTTAACAGCTCAAAATTAAGGAAGGCTAACGCAGATAAACCTTGAATAACTTTTTGGAATATTCCAAAACAAACAAACTGACTTTAAAGGACGCCGTGGAATGGAATGCCCATATATCTTCTTCTAATTTCAATTTTAAATAAATTATATATGTAAGGCTTCCAAATAAAGATAAAATGTCACAGATGTTGAACTCCTACCAATCAGCAAGTCCTACACAATCCTGTATACAATCAGCGATTCTATAGTTAGCTTTTTTTTCCCCAACCTAAACGGCATTTTACGCAACTCATGGTCTAAGCGACCAGGTCAGAGACATCTAAGTCATTCCTAATTTAGAACTGATGACTCTAGAAGGAAGTAAACCAGTCAGCAGCACACGGTGTTTTTTGCGATTCCATAACGGGATTGGATGTAACAGTTATAACGACCCCCGAGCTGGAAACGTAGAGCGTGTTCAGTGGCACATCATATCTCGAACCTCAGACTTTCAGGTCTTCAGTTGGTACGCTAACCACTATGTTACTCTGGCCCGTTTCTCAATCTTACTCTGTAGCCTGTGTGCTGGTTACATTTTTCTGTTCTCTGTGTGAGAAGTATCTTATTTTCAGCATTGAACTTAAATACTCAACTGAAAGTATGGAGGTTTTGTTGTGTTACAATTTTATATCTTGTAATATTCATTCCCTATGCCACACCCCATTGGCTAAGCAGTAAATCTATAGACTTACGATGCGAAAATTCGGGTTTTGATAGGCGTAGTGAGCAGAGCACAGACAATCTATTCTGCAGCGTTGTGCTTAACCAAAACCAAAACATTTCCAAATCAAAAAGACAATAAATAATCAACAGTTGAATTATCACTAGTACAATACATTATTGCAATATATATATAATAAACGTGTATAATGTATTTGCTTTAAACAGAGTGGTACATCTTGCTTTCATGCTACCAAAAGTTTATTAATATACGTTTGTGAAACATTGTTCCGAGTGTTCTGTATTACTTCTCACAAATCAGCCAAGTTGCGTGTTAGCCTTTAGTTCTCAACTCCCGCATTAGCCCATACGTCCTAAATAATATTCATATCGAGTCCTTTTGAAGTCGAAACCATTGTTGCGAGTGTTTCATCGGCCTTTTCTTCATCCAGGTATCGTTTCACTACATTTGTTGCATGCTTGAGATCACTGTCTTGTTGAAAGAAAAATCCTTGCTTAACAGGTCGTGTTCCTGGGGGGAAAGACCCGATAGATAACAACATGCTGCTCCTGTCAACAGTCAGAGTGTCATAAAATATTTGTGTAGACTTTTAATATCTTTGGCTGAGATATAGCCCACACTTGTATTGGTCTCCCAGCATGCTTCACTGTAGCTGTTGAATTTTGACCATGATGCCATTCCCCTGTCTGCTATAGGACAAAGTATCGTTGATTGTTGCCAAACAATTATAATTTGGATTCGTCTGTAAAGCGCATCCACCCCCATCTTTTAACATCCCATTGTTTGAAGTATAATGCCCATTTCAGCCCTTCTAGCAAGACCTCGAATGTACCATAAAGAGCATGCCCAGAGTTACTTGTCACTTTTGAAGAGTTTGAGGCTTCTATCTTTACCAGTTTTATCATTAACAGTAAATAATTTCACGTGCTATTTTTGAGGTTTCCATACATCTTCTACTGAAACACGAAATTTTGCCTAAATGTGTCGCATGGAGTAGCCTTCACAAGCAAAAATTTGAATTCTACACGTTTTCCATGTAGCATTTCTATTTAATGAGCCATGCGTGTATTCACTAGACTACTGCTGAGAACAGTATGACTGTCTGTACTTTTATTATCATTATTCTGGTGTGGTACTGTGAGATTGATAGCCAGTCATAGTGTAAACTGTCAACACCTGATATTACTCTGGCGAAGGTCATATTGATATAGTGGAGGATGAGCAATCCTATAATGTAAACTGTCAACACCTGATATTACTCTGGCGAAGGTCATATTGATATAGTAGAGGATGAGCAATCCTATAATGTAAACTGTCAACACCTGATATTACTCTGGCGAAGGTCATATTGATATAGTAGAGGGAGAGCAATCCTATAACGTAAATTGTCAACACATGATATTACTCTGGCGAAGGTCATATTGATATAGTAGAGGATGAGCAATCCTATAATGTAAACTGTCAACACATGATATTACTCTAGCGAAGGTCATATTGATATAGTAGAGGGGCAGCAATTCTATAACGTAAATTGTCAACACATGATATTACTCTGGCGAAGGTCATATTGATATAGTAGAGGGTATAGACTAGAGGGATAGCAGCCAACTAGCAACACCCGCCGCCACAAGTAATTTCTCAGGAATAACGAGACTGTAATTTTTATAACGCACCTACAATTGAAAGAGTGGGGCGTATTCAGCAGCATTCCATTTCGAACCTTGGACCCTTCAATACGCAACCCGACTTGTTAACCACTAGGCCCGGCCCATCTAATCTTTAACAAAAAAAAAATATGGACCATGTCTCTAAAGAAAACCTTTAATAAAAACACTACAAAACAAAAATTAATAATATTTTAAAGCTAAACCAGTAAATGAATCTTTAGTAAACAAAGTAACAAACAGAAAAAAAAATCACTTCACGTAATGATAGAAGCTATAACTTGAAATTTCATACACAGCATTCTTTATTTCGATCGGAGGCCTTATTTTTATTCATTATTGCCCATTGTTTGTTATTAACTTACCGAAATGCTTTGATAAAAACACCAACATATGACGTGTGGTGAGGTCAATGACTGTGAAGCGGTTGACTCGAGAATAAGCCCCGATACACATTCGTAAGATTGGACCAAGCCCAAATACTACATCAATTTGGTTCATATGGACTGCACCTCTTCCACCGGAAGACAACAACAAGTTATAAAATGAGTCACAGAATGAAAACCTTTTCTTTTAAAAATGTTAACAAAATTAACTTGAAATTTTCAAATTACCAAATTAAGTATATAATATAAACACACACTTATATATACACATATATAAACACGCGCCAGAAGAAAGTTTAAGATATTTTTTGAAATCTTGTTATTTGGAGGAAAACTGAACATATTTTGAAAAATTATTATGTTTTTTTTCTTAGACTTTGAAAAATTAGATAGACAGTGAACTGTTCTTTGTCGCTGGTAGACTCTCTTACAGTATTAATTAGGAAATAATTTCAAAACTTGGTATGCTTATTTCAGGGATGTCATTCCTCTATCTCCAACTGATGCTGATATGGTTTTTTTGAAGCCAAGCGAGTTTTGCAAAAGGTGAATTCGTGAAATCGAATAGATGTTTCCAAGTGGCTAAAAATTATAATTTAAACTGGATGACGTGAATATCCATTGATTTAGAACGTTAAATCGATCAACAAAGATCTTTATTTATGATTGCTACTTGTTCGCCTGTGTGTAGATACAAAAAAATATGAATTATTTTCATTCTTTTCGGTCAGTTTTAAGTTTACAGAAGTATTGAGAAGACATTATGTTTCTTATATTATCAAATTCTTTAAATCTAGCATCAATTTTCTTTGCAGTATAGGGAAAATTCCTCGTATGTAAACCGAGGAAATCTTTGAACGTATTCGACTAAATGCTTAGTATTTAAACAAGGTAAATCATTCGCCAAATTAAATACGTTTACTGACGAATACGAAAACAACGTTGTGAACAACAGCTCTTAATCGAGCTTCCAGTGAGCACAAAACTTTTCATAGAAAAATAAGAGTGTAGGAAAAAAAAGAGCAGAGAGCACGTGGCCTTGGAGCTCGACAACATATAGAAATTTGCATTTCTATTCAAGACCGTCGTTTATCTACATCAGTCCATTATACATTCACCAGTTCCTGTTCATATCTAAGCTACGACTCTTCTCACCAGCGCCATACATTCCAACCACTTTCATATTCTCAATTCCTAGGACTTCGTAGAATTTGCACTGGATAGAGCGATTGCGAGTCAAAATCTGAAGAAACGATGGATTTTTGTTTATTATCGCTTCTATCTTGAGCTTTTAATAGAGAAATCCGCCAAACGCGTTAATTTTATAGTTCTAGAATAAACCCTAAAGTCTAAACCTAAGTTTACAAACTCTCCAAAACCTCTTTATATACCATCCTAATACTACTAAAGCTGCCCAGAGCACCGAACAAAACTTTAAAAAACCTAACGAATGCTCACTGGTCAGTTAATGACATGATAAAAATATCAAAAGCATTTTGTTCCACAGTATCATCCATAAATCAACCGTGAGAGTGATCTCAGTATCATCTTGTTGTCAGAGAAAGAAATGTATCACCTGCCAATATATTAACATTGTAACATTCGTTTATGGCTTCATTTGAACGTTGGCAAGCCTGATATATTGTTTAATCTGTAAAAAATATGGCATGCTATACACAAGTCGTTGCTTAAGAGATTGTTCATAGGAACATCTGTTTAGGTAATAAGTAATGCCACTACGATACCCTACAATAACTCTTCAAGCTGAATCTCTGACATATCTTTTCATTCGACCCCCGCGTTACGGAAGGGATATGTTCTTGAAAAACCTTCCGTAGCACGAAATTCCGCAACTAGAACCATATTTTCCCATTGACTCCCATGTTTTAAGTGTAGATGCGTTCTTACGGAAATATTTTTGATCCACAAAAGTAATAAAAATACACATCTGAATGTAAGAAAACATTTTTAAACACATATTAAATGTAACTCACATAGTTTGTTAGTTTACTCATCAAAAATATCAGTAGGTACACAAACATAATTAAATTTTATACATGATGTGTAAATCATGATGTGATGTAGGCTCAACTCTTTTGACGAAGAATGCGTCAAGAGTTGTTTGCTGTTTCTGCTGTATCTTCACCTTGTAGTAGTGCATGACATCATGTAGTCCTTTTGTAACTTTCAGGCTGCGTTCACGGCTGGGACCATTAGCACCGAAGATTTGCACCACTTCTTCTACGAGGGCAAAGGATTGGGATAAGTGGTTGGTAGTTAACTGAAATTGCATGGGTGGTGTTTGAATAACGTTCTCCTCTTCTTCAGCTCGCTCTTGTTCCAACATTATCCTCATTCGACGTATCTTCTCCATGGGACTTTAATAGCTCAACCACATCTTCTTCGACGATATCTTCAAAACCAGCCTGTCTTGCAAGTGACATAGTGTCTTGGTGAACTTTCCCAGCACTTTCTGCTGAGTGAAACCATGTAAAGTCGTTGGTATGCTCAGGCTATGTGTTTTCCACACACCATTCATAGTTCATACCACGACTTGGTGATGTTTCCTATTGCATCCATAATGTTTTATATATTTTCCAGAAATCACGACCTGTAGGCTTATCCTCTCTCTCTATCAGTAGCTTTAATCACGGTTGTTTCAGAGTTCTCTTGAAATTGGAGACAACTCCTTGATCCATTGACTGGAGCAATGCAGTTGTGTTCTTGGGGATGCAGTCAACTCTTATAATATCAGAATGGCCATTCAAGTTTACTGGGTGGCTTGGTGCATTGTTTAAGATGACCAATGCTTTGTTGGTAATATTACGTTTGGCACAGTACTTTTCAACAGCAGGACAGAAAAAACTGATGAACCAGTTTTGAAAATACTTATAGTCATCCAAGCCTTCTTATTTTAGCAACAAACCGCTGGTAAATTAGGCTTGGCAAATCCCTTTAGAGTACTTGGAGTTTCGAAACTGTACACTAGTAAGGGCTTTAATTTAAAATCTCCAGCAGCATTGCTACCCAATAGTTGAGCCAGACGATCTTTCGAAGCCTTGAACACTGATGCAGACTTCTCTTCCCTAAAAAATCAATGTTCTATCTGGTATACATTTCCAGAACAGCCCCGCTTCATCTATGTCGAAGACTTTTTGTGGACTGTATCCCCTTTCATCAATAATTTTCTTGAGTTCACTAGGGTATCTTCGTGCAGCTTCTACATCAGCATGTCAAGCACTTCCTGAGCCTATCAAACCAACCCATTTACTTGCCAGGAAGGGTTTCTTTTCAGAACTACTACTACCATTTTTTTTTCAGTCACCAAATCATCATACAAGCTTTTTGCCTTAGTTTGTATAACCATCGCGTTTACTGGCACATTACGTTGGATCTGGTCCCAAATCCACACACTCAGGAGTCTTTCCATATCAAGCATCATTTCGCTTCTATGAAAATACAATGTATGATCACTTTAGAGGTGTAGCTACTTTAGCACTTGCCTTGAATTTTTATTTATTATCACGTATTGTTCTCATTGTAGAGGTAGCAAGCCTTAAAGTTTTAGCAATAGAGCTAAGTTTCTTTCTGCCATCAAACTTTCTCAAAACACCAACTTTCACATCCAAAATAATTCCTTTCCATACTCTCTTGGTTGTACTACTTGAAATTGATGGTCTCTTTCCAGACATCTTGAATAAGGGCAATACGCTGTAGAGTCTTGAAAAACGATGCAAAGAACAACTGCGTGACCTTATGACGATCGTAACAGAAGTGTTTGCTGATATGAACAAAGAATGTCAACAAAGCGCACCACCTATATCACTGACGCTTGAAAATGTGCTCTGCATTTCTAAAAACAAATACAATTTTTGGCGAAATTGTTTTTTGTTTTTGCATTTTGTGTTTAATCTGTTTTTTTATATTTACCCCAAAATTCCGTAAGGGCGATATTATGGTCCGTACCCCAAATTTATTAGTCACACTTTATAATTTTCGTATGGGTGAATTTCCATAACCCGAACGCCCGTAAGGCGAGGGCAGACTGTACTTGGACTCAGATTTGGTCTTTCCACTGTAATGCAAAGAGAACGCTTGGGAAAAACGTTCGATTTTTATATTACATAATGGAATGAGCGAAGAATTCTCTATTTTTAACACTACCCACTTCTTCTCTTTTTCTCTACCTTTCTTTTCTCTTTTATACCTGATCTATGCTTTCTCATAACGATCTTTGGTTTACTTAACAATTTTGTTCAATAAACGCGTTCTTTTTCTTATTCACTAGCTCAATCATTTAAGTTTGTTTGTTAAATCTAGCTTTCTATTCTTTACCATGTTTGTTGCCTTTATGTTTAATTGTTTATTTCTGTTTTAAAAGTCATTTTTCATTAAACGATTATTGACTGGTTATGAGGGCAACAAATCATTTGTTACCAGTCAATAATAGTTTTATTCTAGTTCCCCCCTCTCGCTCCTGTTTTCAGTTTTATTAAAATCTAATTAATCAGCGCTGTCACACGTTATAGTCTACATTCCCGGGCTAAACGATTTTTTTTTAAATCCTCCCAACTAAACTATTTATTATTTTGATTGTGTTTGTGTCACTTCGAGCATGGCCTGGGTTTTTCTGTTGTACCTAGTGTTTAGCTGGTACGAGGGAAAAACCCGAGCGATGTTCCAATTGTTGTTGTGTGTGTGTGTGTTACTTCTCATACATTTCATTGTTTTTTGTTGTTGTTTTTTTGCTTAAGGATATGTTCTCAAGACTTCGAGCCAAGAGTTCTTTTTATCTATATTTTATACATTATCCCAAAAAACCATTTTCTCCTAACTGAAAACCTGATGAAGGATTGTTGCTCATAACGCTGTTTTCTCCTTCGTCAATACATTTGGCGAGAGTTTCACATTGTCTGTTTTCTTTTACATTAATTTACACAAATCATTTTTTGTTTACAATATTATTCAATTATACAAATACGTTTTTATGTTATATTAATAAGCAAGAGGTC